CACCCGGTCTAAAGAATCAGCCTCACCCCGTCTAAAGAGTCAGCCTCACCCGGTCTAAGAGTCAGACTCACCCCGTCTAAAGAGTCAGCCTCACCCGGTCTAAGAGTCAGACTCACCCCGTCTAAAGAGTCAGCCTCATCCGGTCTAAAGAGTCAGCTTCACCCCGGTCTAAAGAGTCAGACTCACCCGGTCTAAAGAGTCAGACTCACCCCGTCTAAAGAGTCAGCCTCACCCCGTCTAAAGAGTCAGACTCCCCCGGTCTAAAGAGTCAGCCTCACCCCGTCTAAAGCTAAACTGAAGCTAAACAGCAAAAGAAAGCAGGGGGTTTTGGACCTTTGGCGTCTGTGGAGCCCAGGCGGTCCCCCTTGGCTGTGCTGCTGCTGTTGGTGCTAGACGAGTTGGTGCTGTTGTTGGGAGAAGACACGGACGGCCGCCTCTGGCTGAGGAAGATCCCCGGTGCCATGGGCTGCGCCCCTCCTGGAGACTTGACGGCTCCGGGACCGAACTCGTGGTCCGTCAGGCTGCCGTCCTGGGAGTCGGCATTATGATCCGGGGAGCTGCTGTCCTGAGAGTGTTTTGGCAGCTCCTCCACTATGATGCTCTTTTTCTTGGTGCTTTTCTTCTTCTTCTTGGTTCTTTGCTGCTCCTCCTGCGGACACATGACATGTGATTATTCTTCTGGAGTTGGAGCTCCTCTATGACCGCCGTCCAGGTGGACCTACCTGATGAGAAAGCTTGGCCGCTGCTGCAGCCAGGCCCGTTTCAATGGAGGCCACGCGGGCCCCCTCTCTGGCCGGTCGCTCGTGCCGAGGAACTGAAGGTCCGACGCGCGCTGCAACGAGATCCGCTTTAGGATGTGGAAGATGGAGGAAAGCAGGAAGGAACGGAGGTGGCGGTTACCTGTAGGACTGTACGGCGTGTCGTCGCTGCTTTTCCGCTTCTTGGATCTGGATTTGAAAACAGGATTGTCCTCTTCAGACTCCAAGGACGGGTAAACTGTAATACAGAAGGTGACGGGTTCAGAGCCTCCTTCTGACAGGATGGGAGTTCTTCTGCACATTCAGAGGTGTCTTCTCCAACATGTGGAGCGTGTTCTCTGATGTGGACAGTAACATCTAACATGTAAAGCATGTTAGGGAAAACTGCAGCCCTCCTGGAAACATTAACATGTGGAGCGTGTTCTGAGGTATTAAACCATGTTCTCTGTAACTCTTTTGCTATAGCTAGTACAGGACTGACGCACTAGCTATGATGATAACAACTCTAACTTCCATCCAGCTTCTCCTGCTTTACATGCAAAGTCTATGGGAGGACGGCGTGGAGGGGTCCAGCGGAGCATCCCAGCGTTTGATGCTGGAGTCGACCAATTAACCAATCAGAAAAGCTGATCCAGGACTTTTCTGGGGGACAAAGACTCTACCTGCAAGCTGTCAACGAATCTGAAGATGAAAAATCAATAAATATGAAGGAGTTAAACTCCAAAGGTTAAAATAAAGCAGGTAGAATGTTATGTTGAAGGAACAGAGAGCAGCTCTGATCATTATTGGGCGACAGTGTCGGTTGTAGGAGTTTGCCCTGAAATCGAAGGATTTCATTGTCGTTGTGTCCTTGGGCAAGACACTTCACCTGCATTGTCTACTGATGGTGGTCAGAGGGTGGCACCAGTGTGTGGCAGCCCCACTTCTGTCAGTGAGCCCCAGGGCAGCTGTGGCTACAATGTAGCTCGCCACCATCAGTGTGTGTGAATGCGTGAATGAATGTAGTGTAAAGCGCTTTGGTCAAGTCTCCTGACTTGAATAAAGGTGCTATATAAGTACAGGCCATTTACCATTGTTGTTGCACTAAAACACTTTTTATAAACAATGGAGAAACAGTTTATAAAAACCCACAATAACTAGAAATTTTAAAACCTGCCGATGAAAAATATTGTATTATATATTCTGGTTCTTGCAGTTTAAACCTCAAACCTTAAAAACTCTTTCTACCTCCAGCCGCTACGAACGGCAGCAGGAAATCCCCCACAGGCAGAGAGCTTTCAGCGGGGATTTCCAGCGCTGGAGGTCTGGAGCTCCCAACAAGAACTGCAGATTATAGTGAGATTATAATCCTGGTGAACTGATGAACAGAGGATGTTTGGAGGTGGACTTTCTCACTTTAAAACCTATTTTTCTAACTCATAAAGTCAATCTGAGCTGCTCTCTAGCTGGAAGCTACAGAACAGAGCAGATAAACAACCAGAGCGGCGAGAAGCAAAGCAGCTGGACCAAAGTTTGATCCAGTGTCCAGATTTTCTGCGTTTGAATATTCTTGAGGCCCAGAAAGCCTTCAGTGAGAACGCAGCATCACACTCACACCTAAGGACCATTTAGAGAGATGAGTTAACCAGAGAGAACCCACCATTCACTGGGAGAAGATGCAAACAGAAACACCCCAGGGACAGGAGTTGAACCAGAAACCTTCTTTGTGCATGCTTCTTGGTGCCCCTGTAAATCATATCCTGTACTGAAGACATAATACTCTAAGAAATTCTACTGATGATCTGCACTGGAACAGACGTGGTTACTGATGCCTCCTTTGGATCTATTTTCTTTACAAATTCTGTTTTACTAATTATTTAAAAACAATAAGGTGATAGCTTCAGTGGTATTGAGATAGGATCCCAGTTTTCATCTGCTAAATGTTTTTTTTCTTTTAAATTCAAAAAATATATACTTTTTTACAGCTGAATTTATCAGTTTTTCTTCAGTTCTAATTCTGATTTTATAGAAAGAAGTAATTTTCACTTAAATTAAGTCAAAAATATGTAAAGTTCCTAAATTATGAATGTTTATTGACCTAATATTTCAAATAAAAGCTGTATTTGATCTTTTAGATATTTATAGAACTACATTTTTTTTTGTTGCTTTTTTGCTATGCTAAGGGATTTTCATTTTGATTTTAACGATAATCCAAATGAACATTTTCAAGCTAAAATATTATCAGTTGAAGACAGTTTTTATTAAACCAAATTGAATGGAAATTTCCCTTCATGTTTCTTTCTAAATATATTTGAATCCTTTGCCCTGTGTTGTTTCATGCTTTCCTTCTCCTGAGCAGACGTGTTCTCCACCGTGTGGAGAAGTTTTCTCCAATGTTTTTCCCAAACACATGGTTGTATGTTCTGTGACATGTGAGCGTTTTCTGTAACATGTTGTGTGACACGCGGCGGCGTGTTTTCGGAGGACAGCTGTGGAGCAGCTGTTGGCGCCGTCCTGCTTTCAGCCATTTCAGGGCACAATCCCTCCAATCTAGACTCCCTGTGTGACAGTTAGTGGATCGGGATAAAGAATGGGCTGTTTACAGAATCAGAACCAAGCCTGGCACCGGCCCAGACTCAGGCTTCCACTGCAGGAATGCTGCTGCTAATTGGCCTCTAATCAACAGGTCCATAGAGTGTTAATGGCTTCCTAACAAGCCGGCTGCGTTTGGACCGGGTTCACAGAGCAGCACTACGGAGAACATTTGTAGAAGACACGCTAACGCTAAACATCAGCTCCTCTGATCTACTCCAAATGAAAGCTTCAGCAGCAGAGAGGAAAGATCTACAATCTTGCCTGGTACCATCTGGTCCCTGAAGACGATACCAGGAGGCCCAGGATTCCAGACCAGCTCTGTCAGTCGTCTCTCCTGCTCACCGTAATCCGAGTCCTTGAAGCAGGCGTCCATGTGGTCCTGCTCGTCGTCGTCGTAGTCCAGGCTCTCCATGCTGCTGCTCTTCCTGGGTTTCTTCGGCAGCCTCTTATTGGACGTCTTGCCGACGCCGCCGGTGGCCCCGCCGCTCTTCTTGTACGCCTGCAGGCTCTGCGAGTTGCTCTTGGACTGGCTGTTGCTCCAGGGCTGCTCCAGGGTGTCCGAGGAGGACAGGTTGGCCATGGACAGCATGCCCTGAATGGCCTCCTGCGTGCTGGGAGACGCCGGCGGCTGACTGGGAGAGGCACAGAGGAGCAGAACCATCAGGACCAGAACCGTCAAACAGACAGAACCAACCTTTCACCGTCTCACTGGAAACAAAACAAACCTTTCCTGTTTTAGACACACGACTGAATTCATTAGCATGGAAACCAGTTTCCCACCGACCGACAGCTCAGAGTTCTACTGAAGAGTGTTTTTGTTGCACAGTCGAGTCAACCTTAGCTTACATGGAAACCGGGCTTAGATTAGGTGCAAAAACGACTTTCTGAAAACATTTGGACGTCGATCCAGGAACCTTAGTGACTCCTGGATGGGAAGGTTCGCTTCTCCATCAAACTCTGGGCTGAATTCAGATCGTTTATCTGAGCTAGCGCAACGTTAGCATGATGATCAGGACAAACTGCTGGCAAATTAAGATAAAATAAAAATATTTTAATTTAGAAAAAATCTGGTGAGGCAGGAAGAGAAAATGTCTTGGTGCTCATCGGACTGTGAAGCTCTTCCTCTGTGAGTTGGGCCCATCTTGGTCCAAAGTTCTGGTGCTGATGTCTGGACTGATTGAATCAGGGTTTATACCGGAATGAGTAACTCTAATTTAATGCTTTTTAATGCTATTGGAAATTATTTTAAGGCCATTAGAAATGAGTGGCTGGCTAATCAGAACCGTCCTGCTGATCCTACCGGAGCGTCGGGTCAGAACCAGACCCCTGCCCCCCCTTTCAGCACGGTGGAAACAGACCATCACAGAACCGCCAAACAGAGGAAAGGCCCGGAGTGACGGAGCACCTAATGGATCGCCACGGAAACACTAGCTGCTGACTGACTGCTTGTAAACAGCCTGTTGGTTTGATATTCGGACCCGGCTACCTGTGGGTGTTGTAGTCGATCCCGCCCACTTGTTTGCTGGCCTGCAGCAGATCCAGGATCCCTGCGGCGCTCCCGCTCTTCTTCTTCACCTTGGAGTTACGACCTTTGACCTCTGGTTTGGCCTCGGTGTCGATGTGTAAGGTCTCCTCATCGGAGGAGTCTGCGCTCTGCTGCAGGAGGAAGAGGACAGAGATGTTAAACCAGCTGCTTCACTTCTGCATCTCAGAACCAGAACTTCTGGATCTGCAGAACAGAACCGGCCCACCCTGCACCCACGCCTCAAAACCTTTCCCAATAGAAGGTTCTAATAGTTAGGAACAGAGAGCCAGGCCAGAACCTTTCCCTCTTGGACCATGTCACTGAGCCTGGTTCAGAACATCCGGACCAGTTCTGGTCCCTGGTGTTTCTCCATCCGGACCAGTTCTGGTTCCCTGGTGTTTCTCCATCCGGACCAGTTCTGGTTCCCTGGTGTTTCTCCATCCGGACCAGTTCTGGTTCCCTGGTGTTTCTCCATCTGGACCTAGTTCTGGGTCCCTGGTGTTTCTCCATCTGGACCTAGTTCTGGGTCCCTGGTGTTTCTCCATCTGGACCAGTTCTGGTTCCCTGGTGTTTCTCCACCCAGACCAGTTCTGGTTCCCTGGTGTTTCTCCACCCAGACCAGTTCTGGTTCCGTGGTGTTTCTCCACCCAGAATGGCCCGTTCCCACAGAACGCCTGAATGGACCCAGACAAAGACGGCCCCAGAGAATCCGGTTCTGGTTCTGTTCAACCAAACCCACCTTGCTCACCGGAGGCTGGAACTTTGGCTTCTTGGCAGGCTGAAGAGGTTCTCTGATGTCCGACAGAACTGAGGAGGGAGAAGAGATGGTCAGCTAGGCGGGCGAACAGGTTCTGGTACCATCTAAGCAGAACCTCCGCTGTGATTCCAGTACTCACAGGAAAGGTCTCTCTTCACGGCGTTCTTCTTCCTCCTGATGGGGAACTCGTCGATCTTAAGCTCACCTTCGTCCGACACGTACTCGTACTCGTCTCTCACCGCTTTGCTTTTGTCCTCCTTCAGGTTTTGTAAAGATCCAAAAACACTGGAGTTGGTCTGAGGTTTCAGTGTCTTGGAGCTGGAGAGAGAGAGCAGAACCATGAGTGGGAGGCCCTGACAGCCATGGCCACCATCAGGCAGCCATTTTACCTGCCCAGCTTCCTGTGGGACACGCTGAAGCTGAAGCGGTCTTTGTTCCCGGACAGCGGCGTTCTGTCCAACCGACACTCCTCCTCCATCTTCAGCAGGGAGTCTGGCTTGCTGTTCTGAAAAGGTCCAATCAGAAGGAGAGAGCAGAGGTTTCAGGAAGTGACATCACATAAGGCAGCGGAGCGCATTGGTAGCTCAGGATCCAGAAACAACCACCGCCTGCCTCACCGACCCAATAAGATGGCTGCAGGTTCCCCACTTCTGTGGAACACACCCCACCCCCACATACTGCTAGCTAGCTAGAAAATGGCTCCAAGTTTAAAAAGGGAAATATTTCACCTCAAAGCAGGGAGATTGAAGACACGGGTCTTTTTCTAGTCATCTGGACTACTGCTCTCTGGTGTGGACATCTGCTGCCACTCAAAAAGCTGCAGGAAGCTCAGACCCAGGCAGTCCGGCTGGTACGGGTCTGCTCCGTTAGCTCTAAAGTCAGCCAGAGGCATGGCCGCCTGTCCTGGCTTAATGTTGATAATAAGCTGCTTTTTATTACACTTCTGCTGTTTAAGTCAGTTATCAGCAGTAATGTTCCAGCTTTTATACAATCAAAAATAGTTCATGATCACAACACTAGAGGTTCCAGTAATGGGCAGCTTGTTTGACCCAAAACCACAAAAAGCACTAAAGAGAGCTTCTCTAAATAGAACATCGCATCTTTGGAATAATCAACTGCAACATAGCTGCTGAACTCATAGTAAATAATCTAAAACAAATCTGACTCCGTTTGATGCCCTGAAGTGTTTTATTAGATGTTTTATTTTATTTTCTCTGATCATTTCTAAACTAGAGCCTGGTTCTGGTTCTGCTGGAGGTTTCTTCCTGTTCAAAGGGAGTTTTTCCTCTCCACTGTTGCTACAAGCATAGCCAGTGTGAGGGATTCCTGAAGAGTCAATTAGTCGATGGTTTTCCTTAGATAGAAAACTTTGAATCAAACTGGATGATCTGGTGAACTGGAAAGTGACCTGAGATGACATGATGTGAATTGGCGCTATAGAAATAAAATGAATAGAATTTATTGGAAATGAAATATTTGTGACTGTGCTTTTTATTGTATGGCTAGAACACCCTGGGAAGGCTGGGAAGCTACGAGCTGCAGCTAGCTAACAGACCTGTAGACATTGATCACAGGCTGGACAGCTATTAAAAAAAAACAACTTGTTTGCTTTCAAACGGCCTTCATCTTTGTGGACATCCTGTATTAGGAGCTAAAGGCAGAACCATTCTGTTCCCAGAACATCCGTGACCAGATGTTCCAGGGACAATCCAACATGGCTGCCATGAAGCTGTAATCAAGCCTCCACCGAGTGTTTGTTCTGTGTAATCAGAGCGATCCTGAAGCTTTCTGTCTAATCAGCGCTAACGTTCTGGACGGGATTAATAGCTGGCACACGCCGCCTCTGTTTCTCTGCTTGCTTACATGAGTCAAAGGTAACCTTGGAGAGGAGCTAACAGGCTCTCCATCTGCAGATGATGCGAAGCAGCAGGCGGATAACATTCCTCAGAAGTCTGGCTCCAAATTTTCCATGAAACTGAAGCTCTCCGATGTCTGCCGTTTGTTCCCCAAGAGCTTCCTCCAATTATTCAGCAATGATCACACATCTGGACATGTGGAAGTGCTTAAAGGGAGGTGTTTGGATCTGGACATGGCTTAATTCCACTCAGTAAACTCTGAGCGGCTGGATGATGGACTGCAGAGCTGAAATGGGAGACTCGGGCCGTGTCATTACTGCCGAGTCCCACTTTGAAGTCAGCTAATTGCTTTTAGATGATTCAGGGTTTATTGTCTGTTCAAACATGAGGAACGTCAGCAGGATGCTAGCCTGGATGCTAGCCAGGATGATAGACTGGAGGCTAGCAAGGATGATAGCCAGGATGATAGCCTGGATGCTAGCCAGGATGATAGACTGGATGCTAGCCAGGATGATAGCCTAGATGATAGCCTGGCTGATAGCCCAGATGATAGCCAGGATGATAGCCTGGATGATAGCCTGGATGATAGCCTGGATGATAGCCCAGATGATAGCCCGGATGATAGCCTGGATGATAGCCTGGATGATAGCCTGGATGATAGCCCGGATGATAGCCAGGATGATAGCCTGGATGATAGCCTGGATGATAGCCCGGATGATAGCCCGGATGATAGCCAGGATGATAGCCTGGATGATAGCCAGGATGATAGCCTGGATGATAGCCAGGATGATAGCCT